GGTGCCCGAGTCCATCTCGAACCAGAAGCGTGGCGTGAAGGTGCTGAAGCAGGAGCTGGGCGGGCTAGGCATCAGCATCAAGGGGGGCAAGGAGAACAAGATGCCCATCCTCATCAGCAAGATCTTCAAGGGGCTGGCGGCGGACCAGACCCAAGCCCTGTACGTGGGCGACGCCATCCTGTCGGTGAACGGCGCCGACCTGCGGGACGCCACCCACGACGAGGCGGTGCAGGCGCTGAAGCGCGCGGGCAAGGAGGTGCTGCTGGAAGGTAAGGGGTTAACGCGGCGCGCGGGCCGTGCCAAGCGCGCACACCCACTCCCGCTCCCAGGGCGCCCGCACTGGCACCCGCAGGCTGTCACACCCCAGGGGGCCCGGGTGCTGTGGGTGACCTGGAGTTTTAACAACTTTTACCCACACGGGGGCAACTGGTCCCCTCCCTAGAATCGTTCCAGGCTTTGACCCGGCAGCGGGGTGTGAAATGCCAGTGTTTCTTGAACTTCTACTACGAGCCAAGCGCCGGATCCCATGCTGAGTGCACCTCGCCTCATTGTAATCTGCAGATAATCCACGTGGAGTGCAGGGACTGGGAAGTGGCGCTGGCAAGGGAGGGCAGACGGAGAGAGTCACCATCCACGCTAGGAAGCTGGCTCACTGAGTAATCACAGCTCTGATAGTTTTCCTCTTTGGCAGTTTCCTCCTCAGAAGCCTGGACAGCCCAGTGTAAAGGGCTGAATCATCAAGGGGCCGGAGAGGGGTGGCAGCGTTTGAATGCTGGAACTCCCACCACCCTTCTCCACTGCGCTGCTTCCAACGTGGGAACTGGGGTTCTGGCTGGGGAGGTGCGCCAGGGGCTGGGAAGTGGGTTGCAGCTTTATGCAAAAGTTCACCTCTGCTGCCAGGTGTTTGGCAGGTCAGTCTGGATTCGGGGTTGCGCTGGGTGGAGGGCTGGTGAAGTGGGTTTTCTGCCTGCATTTTCCCGGGATTTTTCCAGAGGGAGGTGGAAACAACTTCGCATTTGTAAACAGTTTGCCCTGCCTGTGAGGCATCTTAGAAACCACTCTCTTGAGCTGTGATGTCCCCAGGTCCCTCATCATTGAATGTGAATAAAATAGCTAGTGTGTTCTGTACCCATTTGTGGTTCTGTGGTGGTGGTGTGGGGAGGGGGAGGGGGAGGGGGGAGAAGGGCAGTAGGGTAGTAAGCAGATAATGCGTCCCCTTTCCCGACACAGCTGCATTTCTCACTGATCTCCGCCTCTCTGCCACTTAGCTGGCTTTGCCCAGGCCTCTGTCAGCACCCACGTTGTGTAATTATTTTACCTTTTTACCCAGCTTCTAACTGCAGATTGAGTTGTCTGGGGTCTCTCACTAAGTCATGGCCTAAATAAGTACATTTAGTGTGGACTTAAGTAAACATTCTGTTCACCAACTGTGGTGCTGGTGTGTGAAACTGAGAAAGTTCCCAGTTGGGAAACCAACTTTGGTACATGTGACAGCTGATGCAATCCCTGCCCACCTCCTGGCCTAGACTACAGAGGGTTTTCCCCCTCTTATTTGTCTAGAGGAGCCGTGAGATGTCTTCATAGTTAATTGCTACCCTGGATCCAGAAAGTGGAAGGCTGTTTGCTTTGGCTTGATGATTAACATAAGTAAACAGAAAAAAGTTTTCTCCCGTGTGTGTTGGTTTGTGTGACAAGGGGCAGGTGGGACCTGGCGCAGGTGTAGTTTGGACTCTAAACCGCTGGACACCTGCTCAGCTTGCAGTATTTACTGTAAAACATCAGGGGGACAAAGTCAGGTCATTCCTATTTCACTGCCCTTCGTTGTGGCCTTCTTTTCTTCTTCTTCCTTTCCATTTAATGAATAATGACTTAGCTAATAGGGAAAAAAGTCTCTCACCCCAAAAGAGGAAGGAAAGGTGACTCCCTGCAGTTGAAAATAAACGTAAACAAAGAAAAAACAAAGTCAAGCAGTTATGTGACTTTTACTGATGCAGCAACTGAAAAGTGAGTTTTGTCAAAACTTCTAACATGACATTTTTACAACACGTTGTCATGTGTTGCAGGCAGGGCCTGTGGGGAAGACCTCTGGGCCTTCTTGACAAGAACCACCTGGGCTCAGGGCAATGGTCTTATTGCCAGTCCAAGTTTTCAGAAATTGACTCCTATTAAGAGAACAAGTAGAGGCCCCATTTAAATGAGTGTCTCTTATTCTAAGGCAAAGTGTTGGTCCTAGATGCGGTGGGAGTGATCATATACCATCAAGTCAGCTAGCACACGACCTCTCTTTGTAGCTCGTACAGAAATCCCCAGCTGAAGGGGCTTGTCAGAACCACTGGGAGGGCTTGCCCACATTCTGAAATGCCATCTTGATTCCAGAATTTCTACCTAGGAAAAGCTTTGCAGGTGTAACCTCGAGGGACGAGAGGGCTAAAGGAGATATTTTAAAGATATATTCATATGGCAAATACACTTTTTTAATTTAGATTTCTTTTTTTTGCTTTGTTTATTGGGGGAGCTGATAGAAATTGTGTAATCCCTCCATGGCTGCCAGTACGCACTCCATTACATGACATGCGCCCCCTAGTGGAGAGTCACTGCCTCTAGTAGTGGGACTCCCTGTGAAATGGAATGCTGAACGGCAAGTTTTAATGCCTGCCTCCTCGTCTGACATTCTGCCACAGAATCATCTTAACCTCCCTGAGCCTCAGTGTCTTCTGAAGATTGGGAATAAAGATACCCGGCGGGGCATGCTTACTTTACAGGGCTGCTGTATGGAAGAGCACTCTGAGAATAAAAGGAAAAACAACAACATGTATCACATGCCTGCTGTGATTAGTTATCTTTACAATTCAAATGAAATGAAGATGCAATAGCCTCTTCTAAGAGATAATCCTTCCTTTTTTATTTACTAGATTTTATATTTCTTATTTTCATTCTACTTTATTTGTAGAATATGAAATTCTACAAAGTTGTCATATACAGAAGACCACTCTTCGGGGGAAAGAATCGTTCCAGTACTAATATTTCTTAAGCACTTACTATGTGTCAGGCTTCACTTGCATTTGTTCATGTTACCTCCTAGTAACTCCATGAGGCTCGTACTCTTGTTCCTTTTATTGATGAGAAAGCTAACGCTTACAGACAGTAGGTTATTTGCTTAAAGTAACATAGTTGAGAGGGCTCCAGGTCTGACGTAAAAGCTCATACTTGTAACCTCTGAAACTGATGCTCTGAGCTTCTGGGTGGAACTATGAACTTGGGTCAGTGGGAGCCTCATCAGTGATTGGGTCAGGGTATCTTCCCCACTCCTAAAATACGCTCAAGTGCTTGGAACAGCCCTGAACAGGAAATAGAAATTGTGTGGGCTACTCAGAAAGGAGGGACAGGAAAGAGAATTGAGTCTTAAAACCCTAATGCACCAAGTCTCTCTGGCTATGAAAATGGAGCTGCTTCTGTGTGACCCAACTTGACAATGAGACAGGGCCTCCATCATTGAACACAGGGCCAGCAAGGAGACAAGACAATAATTCAAACTTAAAATAGTGAATGAACTGTGCCAGTTAAGTCAGTGTTTAACTGAATATTCAACAACGTTAGTATCAAACATCTTCACACTATGAACTCATTTCCCATGTTAGGGAGTGGGAGCAGGCACCCTGCATGTAGCCATGCAGATATTGAACCCCTTGACTCCAGGGGTTACCATACACATAAGCCACCATGTGAATGGCACCCTCTGGGTTGGGCAGGGCACACCGACATAAACAGCCTCAGCAGCTCTGCATAGGGAAGGTAGGAGGTGTTGTTTCCCCCCCTTAGAATATTAATAAAATAGGAATTTGAAACATATCAACCTGTTTGTAACTGAAGTTATAACAAAATTAGTTTCTCCATAACTGTGTCAAGATGAGGAGTAAAGAATATTCTGGAAGATTCATATTGGGATATGGAGATTGGTTGGGGGTGGAGAGAATCATCTCTGATTCAAAACGGTCTCCTTTGGAACTAACCCAGAAAAAGTGGAAAGTCAAAGGAGAAAGTCAGAGACGATTGTTGACCATAACCCTGTACATCAAAGCTTTCCCCCGAGACTGCTCCCAGGAATGCTTGGCTGTTGAGCTGATCTAAGGTGTTTTTCACAATCACTTCCTCCAGTAATGGAAGTGGGGATGGTGGGGCAGGAATATGGGGTACAAAAAAGGGGCAGTGATTTTGCCGGCATAAAACCTCAGGATGGGATGAGAATTTGATCTTTAAAGAATCTTACTTTGGTCGCAATTCCCTGGGCAGTGACACGTATTTTCCACACTGCGCCTCCTCTGAGCCTCGGTGTGCTGTTATTTTTCCTTCTAGTTGAAGAGTCTCTCCTCAGCCAGCCTTCCTGTGGTTCTGGGTGATGTCCGTTCCGTCTTTTAGTTGTATTTTTGAAGTGGTTGTTTGCGGCAGCAGTCTGCGGTGTTTACCTATGCCGCCATCTTGGTCTCTCCCCGGATGTACAGATTCTTAAAGAACACTCAAGAACTCCGGAATTAGAGTCTTGAAACTTGGATTATTTATCTTTTAACTAACAATTACTCTTTTTACAAGATGCTGTATGTCTTTAGGCCTTGATTTTCTTCATTAGAAAGCGAGGTGGCTGGGGTAAGCCACATGTAAACCTTATTTCACCTCAAACCCTATCAGTTCATACCCAGAATATATATTTTTTTCCATTTTAGAATTTCACAAATCACATAAGCTAACTCTAATTTAAATTTAAAAACCAATGTAATGCCCTATTACTATTATACTTTTAACATGAACATGATGGAGAAACTATTGTTCGAAAAGCTTTAGTAGAAAAATGCATGACACAACTACACCAGAGGTCACAGTGAAGGAGACAGATGCTAGTCCTTGTTTGTAAAATCATCATCAATGCGCACGGCTACAGATGAAGATGGGTAGGAGGCTGTGCTGTCATTTGGGATCTGGTAAAAGCTTGCACTGTTAAGTGACTGCCCTTGATGTTGCAAGATGTCTAGAATTCCTGGCTCCTATCACTAAATGCTAGTAGTATACCAACCTCCCATCCCCTTACCCTCTAAAGTGCTTCCGCAAATTTCTGAACTGCTAGTGGAGAGGGGTGGATTGGCCCTTCACCCTCTTGAGAATCAGTGTTCTATAAGAATGCTAATATTACCTTGCCAGTTCATTATGCCTAACTTTTTGCAAACTCTTTTTTTTACATACGTAATAATAGCTAACACTTACCTAATACTGACATTGT